ACAAATGGGCTACCCCAATTTGAGGGGCTTACAGTGATTTTAGTGGTGGTTGATAGATCAAGCAATTGCTCACTTCATTCCCTTATGGCACCCTTACAAGGAAGTTACAATGGCAGCAGCATTCATCAGAAAGGTGGTCAGGTTACATGGGATACCAGAGTCAATAGTTTCTGACCGAGATAAGGTGTACATTAGTCATTTTTGGAGAGAGTTGTTCAGACTGCAGGGAACAGTGCTGAAGATGAGCACCACTTACCACTTCAAACAGACGAGCAGACAGAGGTGGTAAACAGAAGCCTGGAGACTTACCTGCAGTGTTTTGCTTGAAAGACACCTCAGATGTGGGCCAAGTGGCTAGTATGGGCGAAATACTGGTACAGCACGTCGTACAACTCAGCCTCCCAGATGACGCCTTTTAAAATGATGTACGGAAGAGATCCTCCCCACTTAGTGCATTTTGGACAGAGTAGCACACCAGTTTCTTCAGTAGAGCAGTACTTGGCGGAAAGGGATAAAGTGTTAGAATAATTAAAAACATGCCTACTAAGATCTCAGCAAATTATAAAGAAGCTGTCGGATGGGCACAGGAAGGGCATCCAGTTCGCAATTAGGGATAGGGTGTTCTTGAAGTTGCGGCCCTACAAACTGATGCACGCAAAAGTAAGCAAAAAAATTAGGAGACCCCTAATTTTTTTGCTAGAAAAAATATGACCATGGTAGGGTAAAGAAAATTACACAAAATAGACAAAATAAGAAATAACACAACTTTTTTATAATAAAAGACTCTTACAACTCTTGACACTTACAAACTTGACACAATCACAAATTAAAGACACCTAAAGTTGCATTCCATTTGTTGCTTTGAGAAGAATGATACATGTGGAAGGGAACTTGTGGAGAGATGAAAGATATTAGAAGCCGAGACGGATGGGAGACAAGCTCGCAAGCTTTCTCAAAGAGTAGAAGAAGAAGAAGTGGACAAAGCTCTCAAGCTTTTCCAAAAAAACCTTCAATTTTTCCATTCCAAAAATCTCATTTTTCACCGACCTTTTCCCCTCAAAATACATTTCTAATATATAGGCAAGAGAGGGGAACTCAACAGCCATAGCATCACCAAATTGGCCAATATGATATAGGGTAATGAAAGGCCAACAGCCACAATAACAATTCCCAAATAGCACAGCAAAACAGAGAAGCGGGTTCCAAGCGGAAAATCGCAGAACCGAGCAGCCCAGCACGAAACCGAGGAGCCAACCGCAAGAACCAAAGGGACAAAGGCACGGGAAAACCACCTAGCACACGAAACCAACAGCCAGCCACAGGAACCCAAGGGACAAGGCACGGGAAAACCACCCAGCACAGGAAACCAACAGCCAGCTACGGGAAACTAAGGGACAAGGCATGGGAAAATAGCCAGCACAAAAAAACAAATAGACAAATGGGAGAAGAATAGGCAAAGTCCATATAATAAAGAGCTACCTTTTTAGTTCAATAAATGAACTAAAAACAGCTCATAATGAGCTAAATTTCAGCTCAAAGAATTAATGAGCTAGCAAGTCCAAAAGAAGTCAAAACCCAAAATTTAGGATTTGGTTTGACCCCCACTTTGCCTACATCACAAACAGAGGATAGTAGCCAACATGAGGAATGAGAAGCTAGCCCCGTGATACTTTGGCCCTTACGAGGTATTTGAGAGGATTGGAGCAGTGGCTTATCACTTGAAGTTACCCTCAGCCACTACCATTCATCTGGTATTCCATGTGTCATAACTGAGGAGAGCTATTGGGGATCATGCAGCTAGCTCAGAATTATCGGTGACACTAACTGAGGATTTGGAGATGGTGTTGGAACCACTGGAGTTAAGGGGTACAACATGAAGAATGGGGGGATCATGGAGGTGTTGATCAAATAAAGGAACTTACTAGACTACGACGCCACATTGAGCCATATGAGAGAGTGAAACATCAATTCCCATCCTTTCACCTTGAGGGCAAGGTGATTCTTTGGGAGGAGGGTATTGTTATACCTATCCAAGAAGGATTGGTCCAGCCGGCTCAGCACAAGGGCCAGCCCTTTGTTTATGCTAGGCGGACCAAGACAGCAGCCCACCCCCTGGTTATAGACCGAACCACTATAAATCTGGTGTCATTTACTTTACTGTTTTTACGTTTCCGCACTTTTTATTTCAGTTTTAAAAACTCTGTGGTTGAAAAACATTTTTCTACAAAATTTAAAAAGAGATCTTATTTCAGTTCAATAAATTTTTTTTTTTAAAAAAGGGGGTCTTAATTTTAACTTAGTTTTTTAAACTACCAATTCACCCCCCTCTTGGTAGCCTTGGGACATTCACTTAGGCTTAACAACCTAAGTATTAGACTCAACAGATCCATTGTATCTTGCTTGCTTGCTTTCATATACTATCAAATAAAGAGTGTCCCTATTGTTATTCCTCTACTTTCTTCTCAAAGCTGATTTTCAAGTTGCTGAATTCTCATTTCAGCAAGGGATTTCTTCTATTTTCACAATTATTTCCTATCGTAACACCATCATTACACTTCCAAAAAATCGAACACCATCAATTTTCTTGATAATCCTAGATGGAATCCAAAAAAGAGAAATAATGAAGTGGCATGGAAAAAAGAACAAAATTAATAAGCATAATTCTACCACATCAAGAAATAAGGTTATCTTTCCCGGAAGAGAACTTAATTTATTTCAAGCTCTATAAGTTCTTCAAAATTTTATAAAATTCTCTTTAGAATATGAGCTCAAAAAGGAGAAGTACCACAAAATAATAAAATATCATCAACAAATTGGAGACAATGAAGAAAATCGGTAACAGTAATAAAAAGAAGAAGATAGGTGGCATCCTTGCCTATGGCCTTTGAAGTTTTTAAATTACTTGGTAGTTTACCCATTATCAATGATCAGAGAATTAGCATGAAAGATAAAGCCCAAGAGATAAGCTTAGGAGGAATGAAACACTCTAGAAGAGCTTTAACAAGGAAGTTTCATCTACAACTATTAAAGACTTTCTAAAAATCAATATTGAAGATTAAATTCTCCTAATGCTTCGTGGTAAAATGAATAAATTCGTGAGCAGTCACAATACAATCTAAAGTACATTTTCCTTTAACAGAAGCACTCTGAGAGACATAAATAAATGCAAGTAGTAAGTCATTGATAGCATTTGTAAGAACTTCGTGAAGATCTTAAAGATACCATTAAGCAAACTATTTGGTCTAAAGTCCTTAAGGAGATCACCATCCTCTTTCTTAGGCAACAAGCAAATGTAAGCTGAACTTAATCTAGCAAGAGCTATCTTACCAAAATAAATATCATCAAACATGGAGAACAAACAAATTAATGAGGTCCAGCATTTCTTGAAAAAAAATATGCCAGAGAATCGGACAAGACAAGAAGATTTTGAACCCAAACACCCGACAAGAGAGAATTAATGTACAAACAACTGAATTGGCATGGGATAATTCTCGACATTCCCCTAGGTTAGAATGACCAGATTTAGATTGAAGGACACTTTGTCTTCTTTTAATGCCAACCAACAATTCGGGGATAGAAATTTATTTTGAAATAAACTTTATAAACTATTTTTAAGAGATGAGTTGAGAAGAAAGAGCAAACTCTTAAAGGTGAGGAGGAAGTGAAAGAACAATTTAGAAATACAACATTAAACAATCATCAAAATACATCTTAAAACTTTAATAGCCGTAAAGGCCCAAAAAAAACATGTTCTATTCCTTCCTCAAATATAAAAGATGGCTTTGATTCAAACCATCAAAAACTCTGGAATCATAAACTAAGATAACAAAGAAACAAATAACACTGTTAGAACTCTATTATCAATAAACAAGATTGTGCTAGTACTCGTCTTCCAAATTTGAGTAGACAACATCTTGGACAGAAGAAGCAAGCAGTGTGACAAAATTAGAAAGAATAAATTGAAAAATAATTATATACAAGGGTAGTGGAAGAAGAATCTATTAAAGATAAGATGGTAAAAGTTAGATTCATGAATAAAGAATGGTAAAAAATATACAAATAAGATTGATAGGTAATAATCATGTCAAAGTATATGAAAGAAAAATGGATAAACCATAGATAATATGGATAAAAGTGTTCAAAATATTTATGCAAATAAGGTATAATACATCATGTCAAGCTCGATAAGAATGAATGCAGAATAAGAATTCACAAAGTGGATCCCAAATAGTGGTATAAGGCTAATGATGATGTTGATGATATTATTGATAGCTAATCATGAATATATCATTTGGCTTCTAAAAGCAATAAGCCGCGAAAAATACATCACTAACTAGAGTCTTATGAAGTTAAACAAAGCAGCTAGGATGTCAAGTAAAAGTTTACCACAACAAATTGTACAATTTACACTGTTAGCTTCATTTTTTTAGCTTTGGTGCTAGATTTCTAAATATACATGATTTTGGTGGTAATATGTAATTAACCTTATAATTTATGAACCTATTATTATCTTATTTATATTCAAAGTACATAAAAAACATACTTTTGAGGAATGACACATTAGTGCCCAGGTAATCATCCAACAAAATAACTTAGCCCTTTGTGCATGAGTCATGATAGAAAAGCTATCGCCTTGGAACACCTTAGTGACACCTTAGCTTAGGTGATAGACGCCTCAAATAAGTTTAATATCAAATAATTCAGTAAAATTCTAAAACTACTACTTTTTTTTTTTTTTTTTTGCCTTTTTCTTCAAAACCACTAGTTTAGGATATGATATATGATTGTTAATGAGATTATTTAATTAAATTTCATTGTATTATACAATTAATTTTGATTTTACTATTTAAATATGGCAGTTTCTTCTTTTTCTTTCATTTGGGCACAACATTCATCTTCCTAAACAATTTGCTCTTAAAATCTGATAGAAGTGGACCGACAAATTCAAAAAAAAGATGCACTATTCAAAGTTAATTTTGTATCTAAAGGAAGAGATGCACCTGCTGAAAAAGTGCCCAACCATATAAAGTATCATGCATCATTTGATTGATACCTAACATGGACCAAGTCATCCTCAGGACACCGAGGATTTCTTCAGCTTCCTACCAAAAAAATTCAAGGCTGAAGTCTCAGAATGGGATAGTGAATCAATTTCAAATGGTGTTAAAATTTTAAAATGCAAAACATAAGAAGATTTCTGAAAACCTCTACAATCTGGCCATCTTCTAGTATATCAAAAACACTGCAGAGTAACTTCTCATAAAGTTTCACAGTAAAGTAATAACTGCCTGTCCAATAATAGGCAACATCTGAAACACCAAATTTTTCAGGCATACTGGACATCCTAGAAATGAATTTTCCTATCCAATCCAGAGTATCAGTGCGCACCTCATGAGACAAATTTGCCCATTCCTGTAATCATGATAACCAGAGATTAGATTATTATGAACAAATTAAAAAAAAAAAACATAATGAAAGCAAAATGTTGTGATAACAAACTGTAAGATGTAAGAAATTATTTGCCAACAATAAAGTTTCACTTCCAATTAACCCAGGCAACAGTTATGGTTATCATTTACTAGGACTTATCATTGATCAAGATAATGATAAAATTTTGCCTCTAGGTTCCTTATATTTGAGAGAAGATAGGAGAGCATTTGCTGTTCACTGGCAACAGAGTTAGTTGGATCTACAAGCAGTTCTTCGAGCATATCCACCTGAAATAAGGATATTGACTAAGAGATAGGATTCCCATGGCATGCAGTTGAGAGAAAAAAAAAAAGAGCGTGTAAGAATTACCTGTCTCCTCTGCCATTGTGTATAAAACCTCTCAGTGGGAAAATCTGATCTGGAAAGGCTACCTAAGAGCTCCAAAGATATCTGCGGAACATCAGCACGATTGGGCATAGACCGCAAACAAAAGTTCAATAAACCTTTCTTAGTCCACGCATCCATTGCTTCCGAAATCTAAAACAAACAAAAAAATAGATAGAGGAATATAGATAGTGAAAACAAGTATTTGACAGCTATAAAGCAATGCGGACAAATTCTAATTTGCAGCGATAAGTGATAAGTGATTTACCTTTCAATATCTAAGAAGTGAATTGTTCAAACTGACTAGGAAGGCCAAACATCTCCAAGCATTTCACAAGTCATGCATCAACTTTTCAACAAAAATACGTGCGCGCATAAAAAAAAACTCAGGCTCAATGGCGAACAAACTAAAAATGAACAAATTTTAGTGAACTATCCAACTACAAATTAATGTGATACTTGCCTTAGGAAAAAAAATGTATTAATAGCTTGTATTAAAGGTTAAAATTTTGTAAATATAATACTAACTAGTGATTTTCTATCTTTGAATAATCTCCTAGGTTTATTGCTCCCCAAAAAAAAGATCAATTAAAGGTCTTCAACATATACTGATGAGAGATAGGGTTCCATTTTGATCTTTTTCGAGTCAAACGATGGTTTTGAATATAAGATAAGTTTTAGATAATATTTGTTACTCTAAAAATTTCTAGTAATTATTCATCACCTAGTTGAGTACCTTCATCATTGAAGCTTTGAATATCTTGCTTTGATCTCGATATGTTTGATATTTAGCTATTTAAAATTGTTGCTAGTTCCTCGTTTTGATGAAGTTGTATAGCTGTTGCATTTGGGAATAATGAATTGCTCTCAAAACAAAATCTATTGATCATCTCCAAATTGATTTGATCATATAAGAAAAAATTTACTTCATGGGCTAGGCCTCAAGTTCGAGTCTAAGTTGGTTCAATTGCAATAAGGAAAAGAATAGAAGAAGTTTTTGAATTCTTCATGCATGCTTCACAAAGCTCATAGGTATATAGATAAATTTGTAGTGCTACATTCTTGCAATATGACAACTTAAACAACACTTAGAAGGTCCAAATAAAATCAATATAGTGGTTTACTCTTGTAATTCCATTATTTATTTCTCTCTTGCAAATTTATCATATTCTCAAGTTCTTTGTCAGGTCAACCTTGAATTTAATATATTTTTTGCCTTCAACAGTAAGACAATGGTCAAATCAAATGTAAAATTAGAGGCATAGAGAAAACTAAAAGATACATAGAAATACGGTGCACCTATATAATAAAACAATTAGTAGTTATATAGAATTTTAGCTTCAAATTAAACATAACTTTGAGCAACCAATGGTAATAGAAGGTCCAACAATGCCCATGTTTGATAGAAAACTTCAAAAATTGTATAAGCTACTGTAAAAATGATTTGCAAAGGATACGCTTCAACACCTCAAGCAACACTCAGTGAGAACAAATGAATAAATAAGAATTCATAAAACCAACCACAAATAATAAGTAGAAGACAGATGACGATGTTAATGATAATAATAAAAGCTACAACTAGCCCGGCTCGCTAAACTCATGATGAAATTGCAACAAAAAGATTGATAAAGATGGCCACTAATGACTAGTAGGACATAAATACAGATGGGCGAAAAACAGAAACACATTATAGTGATTTCCATATTGGTGTTAGAAAAGGCTCACTAATCATCCATAGTACAACCACTTTCTTGAAAAAAAAAAAATCGGAGGTAATAATTATTTAAGTAGGACAATGGGCATCAAAAATTGAAGGGTTATTTTTTAGATTCCTTTTGGAAATTCCAATCAAAAAAAAGTGAAAGAGTGTCCTGTGAAACTGAAACAATTTGATATAACAAATAAAAAAAGTTGTAAAATAAGCATTGCAGTCCACATACTGATGCGTTTTGGAAGTAAAAACAGTAAGGTAACAAGTAGAAAATAGTAGGAACTCAAAGATAGGAACCAGTTTTTTATTAATACTTCAAAAATAATGAAAGATACAATTGATCTAATAATAGAGAGGTAGATCAGATCTTCGAAAAACCCTAGACGCCACTAGGATACTCACAAAGAAAAAGCTGCAACTGAAATAAATTATATAATGCCAAAATAACAATATAGTTAGCACTAAATAGGCTCTCATAATTCCCTCTCAAATCAACCCCCTTTACTTGATTAATTCCCTCTCATATTTGAATTCAAAATTGGAACTCTTTCCCTAAATAATTTTTCCTTGATTCCTCCTCCTTACATAACGAATCATATCTTTCCTAGGGCCTACAAAACGGACCAAAATCCCCTCCTTGTCGACTAACTTCCATTCTCCCTGATTCGTCCAGTCTGAGCCGGATGTAACTCTTTCACGCTGAAATGTTACACGTGTATCAATACTCCCCTCCCAAAGATACACCTTGTCCTCGTAGGGCTCCCATGTAGATTTGTGCTCCGATAAATTCTTCAACTTGATTAGTGCCTATTATGCTCTTGTTTCCCCTTGACGCACCCCTTATACGTCCAAGGGCTCCAAAATGACATCCATCTCTTCTGTCAAAGCGATGGTAATGGAGACGGGATGTGATCTCCTATCGCACACCTCAGTTGTGAAACATAAAATACAGGATGGATGGCTGAGGCCAGTGGCAACCGTAGGCAATATGCTACTTCTCCAATGAGCTCTACTGCCTCATAAAGCCCAAAGTAGCGGGGAGAGCTTCTTATTCCTTCATCGAGCCAAGGTCCTCTGTCTGTAAGGCTGAATATTCATATAAACATTGTCCCCCACCTCAAACTGCACGTCTCTCTTGTGTCCATATGTCTGCTTCTTCATGATTTGTTAGACTCTCAACAAGTGTTCTTTGAGCTCAAATAATACCTTGTCCCTCTCATCTAAGTACTGATCTATATTGGATACTAGTGTAGTGTTATGTCCATAATTAATTTTATGTGGATCCCTTCCATAGAGAATCTAGAATGGTGTGGTCTGTGTTGTTGAATGGTATGAGGTATTGTATCAATATTCGGCCCACGCATTCCACTTTGCCTAACTTTTCAACATATTTGATAAAAAGCAATTCAAATAGGTCTCTACACTTTTGTTGACCACCTCTGTCTGGCCATTTTTCTAGGGATGGTATGTTCTGCTTCTCTTCATGACCGACTCCTGTAAACAAAACAACTCCCAAAAGTGGCTAAGAAACACATTGTCTCCATCTGTATGAATGGATTTTGAAAATCCATGCAAACGCATCACATCTCGTATGAAAGCAATAGTCATAGAGATCGCAATGTAAGGGTATGTTTCAAAGGGATGAAGTGTGGATACTTGCTCAGACAATTCACTACGACCAGTATCATCAAAAATCTCTTCGAATGTGGCAACCTCTCGATAAAGTCCATCATCACCTCCTCCCACACCCTCTCCAGCAAAGCTAGGGGTTGTAGCAACCCTCCTAATGTCTTTGCTAAGTACTTGTGTCTATGGCACACATCATATCTCGCTATCCAGTCCTCTACATCTCGGCGCATCCCCACCCAGTATAACTCAACATAAAGTCGATTTTAGGTTTTCTGAGCTCCTGAATGTCCTCCAACTGAGCTATCATGAAACTCCTGCAACAGCTTGAGGATATACCCCAATTGCCTCAATAAAACAAGGCGGACATGATGTAGTAGTTGGGACCCCCGCAGCCATGTAATTGGGATGATTTTTTGGGTACTACAATAACTCGGCTCTAATCTTCCTCAGATCCCTATGTTGTCCTCTCTCCTGTCTCAACACTTCCCAATCTAAGACCATAAATACTAACAGAGCTGATAATTGTGGATCGTCTATCTTCCGTAATAGTGCATCCACGGTCATATTCTCGAGTCTTGGGCGATACTAAATCTCTAAGTCATCATAATAACTTGGACAACCACCTCTGGTGCTCTTCAGTCACCATCCTCTGCTCCAGTAGAAACTTCGGGCTCCTCTAACTTGTCCTAACAATAAAATGTCATTCCAACAAATAGGGTCATCACTTTTGGATGGCTAAGAAAATCGACATCAACTCCCGCTCATATATGGATTTGAGCCTCGCCCTGGTAGTAAGCACCTGACTGAAATAAACAATGAGTCGATGATCCTGCATGAGTAATACCCCTAATCTGTATCCTAATGCATCCATCTCCACCACAAATGGCCTGCTGAAGTCAGGAAGTGCTAAAAGTGGCACATTGGCCATGGCTTTCTTCAGCTACTCGAAAGTCTGTCACTGCCTCCCCCCACTTGAATTTGTCCTTCTTCAGCTTCTTAATCAATGGACATGCCATACCTCGCACAAACTTTCGGTAGTATCCGGTAAGGCCTAACAACCCTCTCAATTCCCTCAGGTTCTTTGGTAAATGCCAATCCAGCATAGCCTCAATCTTAGACTGGTATTTTGCTACCCGTGCTTTGCTTACTACATGTCCCAGGTACTCCACCTGTGACTATGCAAAAGAACATTTCTTCAAGTTTGCATACAGTTGGTGCTCCCTCAAAGTCTCTAGTATAGTCCTGGTGATCCACATGCACTGCCTATGTGCAACTGCAGATCAAAATGTCATCAAAAAATACCAAAACAAACTTTATAAGGTAGGGTTAGAAATCTGGTACATGAGGGGCTGAAAAGTGGTTGGGGAGTTGGTTAGGCCGAAAGGCATCGCCAAAAACTTGTAGTGACCATCACGAGTCCTAAAAGCTATCTTATGTATATCCTCCGACTTCATTCTGATCTGGTATAACACTAATTGCAAGCCAATCTTCGGGAAAATGATCGCTCCAGATAGCTCATCCAACAGCTCATTAATTACGGGAAGCACAATTTCCTTATTTAGGGCCCTGTAATACATGCAACACCTCTAATTGTCGCCCTTCTTTCTCACCAATAACACAGGTTCGAGAAAATGATCGCTCCAGATAGCTCATCCAGCAGCTCATCAATTACGGGAAGCAGAACTTCCTTATTTAGGGCCCTGTAATACATGCAAACCTCTAGTTGTCGCCCTTTTTTTTCAGCAATAACACGGGGATTGAAAAAGAGCTCACACTGGCCTAATGATTCCTGCCTCAAGCATCTCTCTGATGAGCTTCTCTATCTCGCCACTTTGAATATGTAAGTACCGGTATGGTCTGAAACTGATAGGAGACGCTCCCTCCTTCAAGGTAATGGTGTGCATGTGCTTCCACAATTAGAAATGAGATGAAGTTATGAGAAGCCCCACTAGGGGTGTAAGTGAACCGAGTAGGCTGGAGCTCGACTCGTTTATGGGCTCACGAGCTGAGATTATCGAGCTCATAAGTCAAGTTCGAACTTGATAAGGCTCAACTCATGAGCTCGCGAGCCAGCTCAAATAATTATTAATATTTTTTAAAAAAATTTATTTTATTTATTAAATTTAAAAATTTTAAAATAATAATAATAAATATTTAAATACTTTAAAATCCCGCTGATGCGGCTCGAGCTCGTTTACAGTGGGACGAGCTCGAGTTCGAGCTCGCCTCTTAAGCTCGAGTTCGAGCCAACTAAATATTTGGCAAGCCGAGCTCAATAAGACCACTGCTACACTCGTTTACACCCCTAAGCCCCACTATCCACCAAGACCACCACTAGTTGCTCCCTGATCTTTCCCCTGCCCTTCATGGTGTGACTTGAGTAAATCCCACTACTGAATTTAGGGACACTTCTGTCACATTCAGATGTAGGTGCTCTTCTCCTTATGCTTCTTTCTCCACCAGATCCTCATTGTTAGTCTATGCCTCCTCCAATAAGGACCTGAAGTGCGAGGTCCTTAAACCAATGGCCCGGTGCATACTTCTCATCACAACAAAAGTATAGGCATTTCTCTCTCTTGTCCTGCACATCTACTTCTGTGAGGTGCTTGACGTTGGCCCCCTGGCGAACCACCCCACTCTTCTCCCTCAATGCCTCCCATTGAAATAGCACCATCTGGATCCTCGATACCAGTGAAGTCGAAGTACTTCTGTAAGAGCCTCCCATAACCCCACTCTTACTGCTCTATATTCGTCTTCGATCCTCTGTTATCTGAGCTAACTCCATCATCTCCTTTAACCCCCTCGGCCTCAGCAATCGAACGTATGTTGCGAGCTTGAGACCCTTCATGAAATTTTCCTCCAACACCGCCTTAGAAATTCCCTCAACCTGCCCGACAGCAGCTCGAATATCTCTATGTACTCCATGAAGGACTCCTCCTGAGTCAAGGCAGGAAATTGCTCGTGTATGTCTCCTTCCCAAATGGCTCAAAAATGTTCCAACAAGCAATCATTAAACTCCTCCCACGAATGGATCGAAAATCTCGCCTCCCTCCACTAGAACCAAACGAGGGTTTTTCCCTCCAGACATAACCATACAACTATAAGCTTCTCCTACTCTCTTAACCCATTCATCGCAAAATAGCTCTCCACCCGGTATACCCACCCAAGGCATCCTTTCCTTTGAACACCAACATCTTCAACTTCCTCACATTCGCTTCTCCACCACAACTTCCTCTCCCGCCAATGGTTCCCCTGTGTATCGAGGTTAGGATTCTCACCTTTCTTCCATCAACCTCCCATGACCCAATCTCTATGGCTCAGTTGATCACCCTCCTTCTCCTGTTAGTCATTTCCATTGCCCAAATGCCTCCCATAGTGGCCAGTCACTCCACCACCACACAATAAAACTCCTTTCTTGTTGTCCCCCCATCTGGAATCCCTAATTTGCCCCATATCAAATCCCTAGGTGATGATTCTTGATGAAACAAGCATTCCTCATCAAACTCTTCCCGTCCGATCTATTTTCCCTTAGTTTCTGCCAAGGGAATCCCGGTCGATTTTAGGTTGGGGTTGGCAATCGGAACCACCGGTGAAGTTTTTGGATTGCATCTCCATTAGCTTCCTTATCATGTCCTCCACCCTCCAAATTGGTTTTCCATAAATAAAAATTTTTCTATCATGGTTGCTCCACACCAGATTTGAATTGCTCCATCTCGCCTTCCAATGCATCCTCCTTCCTTGATGTTATTATCTCCAAAAAACCTTGCTCTAATACTAATTTGATGTGGTTTGGAAGTAAAAATAGCAAGATAGCAAGAAAATTATAGGAACTCGAAGATAGGGACTATTTTTTTATTTATACTTAATAATGGTAGATACAATTGATCTACTATTCGAGAGATAGATCGGCTCTCCCAAAATCGTAGACGCCGCTAGGAAACTCACAAAGAAAAAGCTACAGACGAAACAAATTACATAATGCCAAAATAACAATATAGTTAATCCTAAATAGGCTCTCCTAATTCCCTCCAAAATCAATCTCGTTTCCTTCATTAATTCCCTCTCATATTTGAATTCAAAATTGGAACTCTTTCCTTAAATAATTCCTCCTTAATTTCTCCTCACATAATGCATCATATATTTCCTGGACCCCAGAAAAGGGATTGAAATCTCCTCTCTATCGGCTGACTCCTGCTCTCCCTGATCCATCTGGTCTGAGCCGGACATAACTCTTCCGCGCGAAAGTGTTATGCACGTAACACATACATAAGCTGAACTCAACAAATATAGAACAAAAAAGTCACAAAAAAAGCTTTCAAAATGGAAAAAGCTTCTAATATATGAAATTGGCAAGTATAAATTTAATCCATAACACTCTTTGAATCGATTTCAATCAAGTTACCCCAAATTTTAACTAACCTTATAAACTAAATCAAACTAAAATTAACGTGGCTTCAGACATGACTTGAAAAATAAGCCAGCTCAAATTAATGTGAAAGAGCTGAGGAGAAAACAGTGAGAAACATAGCTAAAATGAATTGAATATGTTAAATTAAATTTACATGAACTAAAATTGGCACAAATGGAAAACGGGAATGAATGGTGAGAACGTTTCAAGAATCCGACCCTAATTCGTTAGAATAATGCAGCAACAGCATATGACAATGAAGATAAAAATATCGCATGCATGATTGCTTTAAAAAACTAGAAAATAATAGAGGCTGTGAAGAGGATCAATATCCAATAAATATGGAAATATACTGTAAATCAAATTTTGCATTTTACATGTCATAAGGAACTTATTGCTTGCCTCCAATTGACCACGTATTGTATCCATCAAGTCAGAACGGGTATCATCCAACTGAAAATGTGAACCATCCCTCCTAGATCTCAGCCCCTTCAAAAATTTGGACTTTCTTTCTTTCTTTTTTTCCTCAAAGCAAGGTTTATGTCCTCTTATATACCAAAAAAAAAAAAAAAGATTGATGAGAAAATGATAAAATAGGAGAGCAAAATGACTGATTGATAAAATAAGAGCAATACCCAGAGTGTACGACAGAAGCAAGAAGCACCTCATAGGCAGTTTCTCGCATATCATCATCAGAAAGTCCTTTGAAAATCCTAAAACCACTGGTCAGCCCATTATACCAAAAATCTTAATATTGGTGCTCCTCCAACCCATGCAAGTAAAATCTACCTTAACCCAAGATCGACCAATAATCTTGGTCGAGTAGCAGCTATATGCAGGTTTTAGGGTCGCAAGTCAAAGTAATATTAATCATAAAATAATGTAACATCTTTTTTTACTTGGTCATTATTTCATACCAAGAGTATGGAGAAACAACAATCAAAATAAGGGAAAATATAATGTTTTAAGGCATATCCAATAACAATGCTTAGATTAAAAAACAACTCTTGTACTTTGTGATTACCTGTACGAAAAGAAGGTAAGCCTAAGGAAAATTTCACATCTTTCGTTAGTTCAGAAGGTATAGTAGTTGGAGCTAAATTGCTTGTTTTTGACTCAGGTATGGGCACCTTAACTCCTATGCCAACCGAACTTGTTGAACATGAGAAAAGATCATTGGTTGTCTTTGCCCCCACCAAAGGAGCAACTCGTTGAGGCGGAGATCCTAATAAATCTGGTCTGGAAAGAAGAAAGAATGAGTTTCCAGATGGTGCGCTTATCTGTAAACAAAAAAGGCAATGAGCTAAAGCGTCAGCAAAATAATACGAAACAATTTAGGTATAGAATACAATGAAAAGGCATGCAGAGAAATTGGTAGTGTTGTGGCAATTTTGTAGGAGTGAATTAACCAAAGTAGGGATAAATCTTGAAAACTATGACAGCATGAGTTATAATAAACCCATGGAAAAAAATACATTACAAGTAAGAGGTGTATTTGAAGGCAAATACCAGAAGGGTTTACTAAGATTGCACCTAATACAACAAGGGATAGCTAAATCAACTATTGTAAAAGAACATTTTTTAGGTAAATACATAAGGGTATGGTAAATGTGTTGAAACTATCAGAGAAATCATCACAGCGCAAATAACAATGAAAGAAAACTATTTTGGTACATTACTATTTAATAATATTGTCCAATATGCAAAGTAAAATTAGATGCATCAATTCAGAGTATGAACCATAACATCGTTGTATTGATAATGGATCAATTGCTACAATTTGCAAGCATATCAACGCATGATTTTTTTTTAATTTGAATATGGGTGCACACACATCAAAAGGGAAAGAAAAGGTTAAAGGAAGCACTTCAAATGCAATCGTTATGGTTAGGCAATAATCCATTGTAAAAAGATTCAAAAAAATTAAACAGAAATGCAAAGCTGTAATGTTTAGAAATCACTGAAATCTTTGTGGGTTTCTATAACTTCCTGTTTACAAAAAAATCAACAGGAAATCAATGATATGATGGAAACAAATCTCCATATAGTAAATATATGAATATGGCACACTTCATAACCACAATATGTGTTTCAGCAATAATAATAATCGATTATGCAAGTATGTTTCTTGACCACCATGAACCCCGCTCTTAAGTTTTAAGATAAACTTCTGACCTACATATCAGTGAACTTTTCCATTATGTTGAGTTAGCTTTGTTTGGGCTTGCGCTTGAAATCCTTGACTGCTAGTAGTGATTCACTTGTTTAAAAAAATTTGAAGGTAGTATAAAAGTTAATTTTTGGCATACATTTTGATCAATTGTGATTATAAAGCATAAATAGAATCATGTAGAGTATGAGAAAAATCCAGCCTTTTTTATTTAAGGATGGGTTTCTCAATGATTCAAGTACTTCAATTATAATAAAGATCTCAAAATCATCATGGTCATCATTACCCTTACTCATACTATCTGCAATAAACTTAATGACCGCTATTTTTTATGCAATTTTTATTTTGCTCAACTTCTATTTATGCAAGTTTTACTTGAATTTTTTTTTAATCCTTCCACATTAAGTTTACATATCATTGTATTGGTGCATCTTCAATCCTTCATTGTACATGCCCAAATCAACTTAGTCTATTTTCCACAACCTTACCTTCAATATTAACATTTATGACACTCAACTTAGCTATCAGTGATTTCTTTAGCACTCAATACTCAGTTCCACATAGCATAGCAAGACGAATTTCAATTTTGTAAAACTAACCTTTAATCCATAGTATTCTATAATTTTATAATTCTCTTTAGAATAATTATTACAACTACTCTCCAAAGTAAACCTTGGTTTTTATAACATATCCATAATCATTTAGTGGAAACACCTCACTAGCCCATTCAAATTAAGTTTTTGCTCGCCTTCATCAAGTTCATATGCAGACATAGAGATTCCTTTTGCAGTTTAAGCAAACATGAGTTGCATAAACAGCAGTTATCCTAGTCCAGTATTTTCTAAAAATAAAAATCTCTTTTCTACTTCTTCTGATCATCTAACAAATGAATTATGTTCCTAATGTGATCATGACTAGTTCACCTACATGCCTAAAATATTTGTTTATTAATAACCACATACCTTAAAACACTATAATAGTTACTCTTGGCTGCCAAAATAACATATAGAACAGGATAAGCTATGCAATTCAGTGTTAAACAAAAATACATCATAAAAATTCCGCCATCAGTCCAAATGTTTAGCTAACAAAATTCAAGGAAAAATTAAGAAATAAGCATTTTAAGGTAACTTACCATAATTGGCAAATTCAGCCCGCTATTATGTCTCGATGTAGCATCCTTCGGAACAAAAGCTCCGCCTAATCGGGTCAAAAGCACCATCAAAACCCTCATAAAAACACGGGAAAATAACAATCATTGAACAAAATATCCATGGCATACCGGATTTGACGCAATCAAGCACATAGTCCGCACTAACAGTGTCCAAGTCCACGCCCGATAAATCCGGCGGATCGCCCAAGGGACCTTTGATTAACCCTGCCGACAAGATGAATTCAAGAAGCTTCCGGCGATCATTGCGGAATCGCTCAAGCATAAAATAGGGTTCCATCTAAAACTTGCTTGCTCTCCCTTCGAACCTATCTTTTACTGGTGGTTGAAGAGAAAATATATCGGTAAAGAGCGCAGATAATACAAGAAACCCTAGATAGGTGGGAAGCTCAGAGCAGACCAAGCGAGGGGGAGCGTGGTCAGCTGTGCGGGATAAGTGGCAAAGGAAAATTATTGGGTAAGGTGACTTGAGGCGAAAATAAGTTCAGACATTCAATAAAAATTTATCTTGTCACTTGCGCTTTTGACTGTTTTTTGACTTGCGTTTTAGTTGAGCTTTAGTTGCGCTTTACCTGCGCTTTTTGACTTGCGCTTTTTGACTTGCGCTTTAGTTGCGCTTTACTTGCGCTTTACTTGCGCTTTACCTGCGCTTTAATTGCGCTTTACTTACGCTAAATTTAAAATAATATTTTATTAATATCCGAACCTATCTTTGTGTTCGGTCAACTGTCCCAATAATTTGCCGCGAAAAAGAGCCAATAGGCAATACATGCTTCCGAGCAAAATAAATAAATAATATTTATAATAATTACCTTACGAGCGGGTGACGATGGAAATGATAATCACACCGACCTAATACGACACGGTAAGAATCTGAAACGAAACTTTTGATGTGAGATGTCTGTTACATACCCAAACTTCTAACATTAATAAGACTGAATATATATTATAAATGCTATAAAATTCATTTGATTTTTTTTCCAAATTAAATCTCAATCTTTTATTTTTTTTACCAAATGTATATTTAGACCATTCATTCCATTATTATCTTCAAAATAACTCTTTGAATACATAGCTGCCTCTCTATAACTGTCTCTCCATAACTAGCCTTATTCACACTTTCTTTAGGCTCCTCATGTCTCTTGATGTTATTTCTGTTGTGTAATAAATATAGCAGAAACAACGCTAATCACATAAACAAAACAACACAAAAGAATGCAGTGATTTACGTGATTCGATGAAAATGTCTCTGCCCACAGGTAGGGATGAAGATTTCACTATATTATAGAAAATGGGGATTACAATAAGCTCTCTAGCTCTCTCTTCCTCTCTTGCCTACAATACAACAGCCCTCAAGACCTATTTAAATATTTGAAATAAAGCTATAATGGAAACTTCAATTAATGTTATAATATGGCAAAATCTAATCAAGTCGATAAGATATCTCAATTATGTTATTTAATTCTTACAATTTATGTAATAATCGAATCCCCTGGTTAATGCATCAATCAAATCAACTAATTTAGAAAATAATCAGCTCCTTAATCAATGTAATAATTGGTCATTAAAGTTTTCCAAAATAAAACTTATTTTAGATTTAGAAATATTTTCAAATCAACAATCTCCACCCCATCTTTCACTTCTGAAAGTTAAAGATGATAAATCAGACTCTATTATCAGAATGGCTGCACCTAGATGGTTGCCAACGTACCCCCTTTCAGGAGATTAAGTCAAGCATAGGTCACCAACCTCCAACAAACATTTTTCTGAAGAAACTTCATATATTCATCCAAAACCTTCTTCCAAAGATCACCATTAAGAATGTCAAATGTTTCCTTATAGCGACTAGGAACTTCATCCTCTATGGCTGCAAATGCAATCTAGTCCCTCAATGGCTGGAATTTTCATAAGAAACTTTGCAGTTAAACGTGTTCATCTGGAATAATTCTGGGATGGGTGATCTACTAGGAAGTTACACCAACATAATAAAATCATTAGGCTCTTAGACCAAAGAGGATAATATCTTGATAGTTAAGAGTTTGAGCTATTACAAATAGTATTAGAGCAATACATCATCTGGAAGATGAGAATTAAGTGTCATATAGATAAAGTGCTGCGCAATGGGAGCCACATCTTGAACCTTATATAGGACAAAGTGCTACATGACAGGAGTCACCACTTGAACTTGTAGAGGCCACCTTTATAATCCTATATATATGGTTGATAATTTTGGGATAAAGATGCTGATGAGGACGTCAATTATTTAAGTTGGGGAGATTATGAAACCCCTTAAGTAAAAGAAAACTAAACTCTTAAATATCGATGTAAGTTGGGGAGATTATGAAACCCCTTAAGTAACAGAAAACTAAACTCTTAAATATCGAGGCATCTTTTTGGTGTGTAATGGCTGAAATTTTTGTAAGAAACTCTGTAGTTAAGCATATTCATCCCGAAGCAATTATGAGATGGGTGACCTACTGGGAAGTTACATCAACGTGATAAAATCATGAGTGTCTCAAGCCAAAGTGGGCAATATCTCGATAGTTAAGAGTTTGGGCTATTACATCTTGGGCTCATTAGATTCATCTCATGAAGTCGTTCTATTTGGCTATAAAGTATGTTATAATTAAAGGTTGTTTGATCAATCAATTAATATTCAAACATTTTGAAACATAATTCAAATGTTTGATTTGAGCTTATTTGAAGTTGGATCATATCATTTGTAAAGTTGATGAATTTGTCTCCTTGAGATGTCTGATTCAACTTCTAAGTTTGCTAAAATATAGGTTTGGATAATCAAATATTTAATTCTAGAAGTTCCAAATTCAAATATTACCTCTTGAGCTTCGTGTTGATCTTATGAATTTTCTTGAATCCTATCTAATATTAAATGATAAATTATATACATCTCAAATTTTAAACAAATGAGTCTCCTCGACATCCACATGTAGTGGTTTGTTTTTTAGGCTTGAACATGTAGCAATATGGATATAATACAACATCTTTATATATAATATACTCCATCCATTTTTGATATTTTTAAAATCATTTTGAATTGAACATTTTAAAAACAATTATCATTATCATTTGTGGGAACTTATGATTTTTTGTTTAGTTAAGACACTTCACCAAATATACTATTTGAACTCTATATTTTTCATTTGTGACATAACTACGTATTAAAGGTTAAGGTCTCATGTCAATTAGAAGAATATCAATATCAATCTCAACCCGTTCATTTCCCTTCAAATATCGATTCATTTAATAAACCATAAGTATAGGGAAAAATAGTAAGGGTTGCTCCTCAATTATGTGAGATCATGTAGCATAGTATTTCATGAATGAGAACAAATTTTTGTCATCCAAACTATTATGATAAGAATTACAATGGACAATTGAATTTCTTCTAATGGTGTTAAATTAGAACATTTTCACTATGCATAAAACAAAGAGTTTTATATAATGAAAATAGTAGTACTAAGACGATGTATAGCAACACAATTTTATAACAAAATTAATAAGTTACTATCCCTAAACCAGAATGCAAATCAAGATAGAATTGGATGCAAAGTGATGCATGATTTTCATATTTAGCTTTTGCATTCAATCTCCTTTTATCCTTACAATGAATAAAATGTTTCGACACAATGTTTAACTAAGGCTTCGTTTGGGACAATTTTCTTACTGCTTCATAAAGCTTTTTTTAGTATAAAAATCTCTTGAAATTAGAAAAAATTAGTGATCTAAAGCTATCCTAAATGAAGCATAGGACAAACAAGACTGACAAGAAAAGTGAATTGCATCACTAAAATAAACATTTAAAAAACACTTTAAAACCTCCATATAAATGAAGTTCTCAAATCATGTCATAGCATCATAAGTAGAATTATACATATGACAATTATAAAAAAATTAGACTATCCACTAAAACGAGAACCCAAATATTGGATTCCCACATAGTGAATTGTGAGCCTGACATAAAAATGATTTTTAGCAAATAGTCGATCAAACTACATGTCACGCCTCATAATATAATTTGAAATAATTATTTATGTTATCAACAATAACAACAACTATAGCTATCTAATTTTTTTTTATCAATATTATAAATATCAGCAAAAATGAATCTATTGATCAAAACATCAATATAAATTTGTATTCATACTTCAAAAATTATATACAGTGCTTAGGAGTCATATAAATACAACATCCCTCTTTCCACTCCCAAGTATAAAAAGAATATTTAAAGACAAAAGTAACAAATAATAGTAAAACATGAAGAATCTTGTAACTAAGTAGTCTCGGACTCCCGATCATCTTTCATGACCTGAAATCTTTTAAACCACATATAATGCGTTAAAAAATTTAACATATTACTAAATCCTACAACTAAACTTAAAGCGCGGTAAAAAAGTAGTATGCATGTCATCAATTAGTTCATAGCAGTAATAATCAATTTGATCATAAATCTATGCAAAAATAGTAAAATGCATACATGAGAAGTAAAATATGCAATATAGTATAACAATACGGTACAAAATACTATAAAAATAATATAGTACAAAAATAATGAAATTGTTAAATAAGTAAATCAGTATGGACATCGAATCAATAAAGCCATAAATAAGCCTTCTTAGATATTACAAATTAGTGGTGCTATCAAATCAACAAAAAATCATATAAATTAGTAAATCTAAAACATCTATAAAGATCGACAAAATCCATAACAATGCAATATTATTAGAAAATTATATAAAAGTATACACATGATAATTAACTATTTTATATTAGTATCAAATTAGTATCTTATATCGCATACTTAGTATATGGATCACATGCTCAGTAATAGTAATCAGTACCATAATAACAGTAAATCAGTACAACAATAATAATTAGTAGAAGAGTAAAACAATATAATGGTAGTAGTGCATTAACTTGCATTCCAATAATCATATTAAATAAGTAAGGAGATCTGGCTTTAGTGGTATTTTTTAGTAATTAGTGAGTAATTGGTAATTATTGGCTTAGTAAATAAAGTCATCACCATTTGCCCATCGGCATAATAATTAACTCCTCATCATAACTCTCAATCAATGAATCATGCGAACTAGTAGAGGATAACACCAAACAATAATATTTAAAGCACAATCCCGTTGACTCATCATCTTGTAAATGTCAGTCAATCTCCAACCAACATCAATAAATAACCAGCATTTATTTATCTTTACACACATTATTACAAAAGTAATAGCAACCAATTATTATCCAATCACATACTCACATTAATTTATAATGCTTGTATTAACAATATGCTTGTGTTTAAATACTAAAATTACTATTCAGTGCAACTTGCACAAAATAAAATAACTTTAATTTTACCCCATAAAATTATAAAATAAACCAATCAAAATGTTCAGAATAATCAATGTACAACATATAAAAAATTATGAAGCAGAAGTTCACTAAATCCAATTTAGAAGAAATCAAACCATCGAAATCAAAATCTTTGAAAATAGGAATAGGATCTAAGCCACCTACCACAATCAAAATAGTTATCGTAAAAGCAGTGAAACGAATCTACAACTAAAACCTAGATTTTCTCATTTTTTCTCCTATTTTTCCATCTCCTTCTCTTTCTTCCTTCCATGACAAGCCACGACATGAGGCGTGAGGGAGGTGAGTGAGTGTAGTAAAAATGTATACAAAAATATTTTTTTGTGTATAGCACTATAACGTTGCATGTTGAATCCAAAGTAAATATAGAATAGAGTCTTCAATGCCGCAACGACAACTTCTAGGGCTACTACCCTCTCAGTCACATCACAGCAGAGTTATCAAGATCAACGTGGCAATGCTCAAGTTTAAATTCATATTCATATTCTCAATTTTACCAAATTAAAAATTTTCAAGTTGTTATAATCTACCTACATTAGAAAATATCATCATTGACATATTTCTTAAGGATTATAGCACAAAATTGGTATGAAACAAATTTGTTTCCAAATAAATCCGTACAACAAAATTCAAATTAAAACCAAGTCGTAGGATCATGCAGTTATACAATTTATTTAATCACATGCCATTCACTTATGCAATGAAATACAATGTTAAACAATAACAACAACAACATCATCACGCCTTTATCCCACTACATGGGGTCGGCTACATGAATCATTTTTCTTTATTGTGTATTATTAAAAGTCAAATTCTCATTTAAATCTAATAAAGAAATATCAATTCTAATATTTTCTAACCATGTCTTTTTAGATTTGCCTCTACCTTTATTAACATAAGTCAAATCTAATACCTCTACTTTCCTAATTTGGTCATCGGAAGGCCGCCATTTTATGTGACAAATACAATGTTAAACAGTCATTCAAATTTTTTTTTTACCAATAAACCTCTAAGATTATTGTTTTTCTTCATGATACTACCAGTTATATACTCATGGTATTACTAGAATGGGTGTTATTTGATGTACGACTAACTCCCTCTGACCACCACTAACAGTTCTATCATCAACCTTATTCATAGACCTTTCATGCCTCATAATCAAATCTCCCTCTTTGTGGATAATATGATACCTTATGTCATAGCTATTCCCATCGAAAATATCATCCTACCAATTAAGTGGCATTGGTCTGAATGCGTGCTTCCATAATGAATACATTCGCTGTAGCTACCGGTAGATGATATCGATCCATATTCGTTCAAATCACCATATACACTTTTCTTATTATAAACACTCTCTCTATCCTTGCTTGATTTATCTGTCGCCCTCTTGGTCACATTATATTTGGAGCCCACATCATACTTGGATATCGATACTGCCAAATTAATTTATATTAATCTAGCTTATTCGACTATCTCAAACATAGTTTATAATCACTTTCCTCAATTGCTTAAGCGATTAGACCTATTTCACAAAAGTGACTTATGTCCCAAAAATTGTGTTGGACATGGAGCAAGCTATTATAGATGAGGTCCCAAGGGATGCAATAAGACAATTATTTTTAAATTTTTGGAAAAATTAAATTATGTAGTTATTATAGTATTCTAATTTATGTCTACTTGCAATAATAATTATGGGGTGCATGCAATATAACACTTGATACATCCGTTTAATAAAATATTTATGAGACTACTCAATATCATATATATATATATATATATATATATATATATATATATATATAAGGGTTTAAAGAAAATGAACTATGGAAAAGATGATGCACGCGATGACCTGCCAATTGAGGTGTGGAAATGCTAAAGAGATGAAATAATTTATTGGTTAAAATTGTTTTCAATATTATTTTAAAGAATAAAAAAATGTCAGATGAGTGAAGAAAGTGTGTGTTGATTTTTATTTTTAAGAATAAAGGAGATGCATATGAGTGATTGAATTATTGAGAAATTAAGTTAATGTGCCATAAATTAAAAGCATGAAAAATACGAGAGAGTGTTATTGAGCATAGGCTATGACATGATACTAATGTTTCTCAAAATCAATTTGGATTTATGCTGGAGAGATCTACCATAGATGTAACACCTGCTCAGTCCATGCGCAGTTGCGCATGTTTCAACCCAATCTGGTAAAACCCATGTGAAATTTATTTATTCATGTCTTTTATAAGTGTCTTCGAGTGTTATGTATGTAGTAGTGTATTTAAATATATTCCGAAGTGGGTCCAAGAAGTCTATGTACATGTATATGACAAATCTAAATTTTCCTCTAGGAGTGCTATAACACTGGGCTAGCAACGTCCTAACTTTTATATAACTTCAATCAAGAATATCAACCTAACTTGAATATGTGTTATCAAAATAATTAGTAATATAAACACTTGAGGCCATAGGAATTGAAGGATTTTAAATATATTTTTAAGATTTTGATAAAACATTCATTAGTCGATCCAACTTTTGCTTAAGAATAGTTATCATTATTTGGAATGTTTATGAAATTTTATTAAGTTAGTATTTACTCATTTAAGTAATATATATATATATATATATATATTAATGAAAAAAATAACAATCAATTCTCTTTTTTGGTAACTAATATCATGCTTCATGTAAACATAGAGGCCATGTTCATCTTTGGTCACTAAAGTGTATTTTCCGCATTTTTTTTCCATAATTTTTTGGACGCTAATAATCTACTTTCGTGTAGTGGTGTAACCTATTGTGTTATGTTGACTCACACCTACTCTGCATTCTATTTTAGGTTGGAAAAAATAAAAAGAGTTTACTGAGTAGCTCAGCATTCAGAATCTTATATGTCTAAGTTAAAATATTATGATCACATAAACTTAAATTTCTCAAATCACACACACACTCTCTTAGCCATCTCACACTCTATATTCCCCCATCTTGATTGAGGGTTCTAAACTATTGCAGCCTCAGCCGGGGCAAATTATTGGGTCAGGTGACCGAACGCAGAGATAGGTCCGGATATTAATAAAATATTATTTTAAAAATAGCACAATTAAAGCGCAGGTAAAGCGTAACTAAAGCGCAACTAAAGCGCAGGTAAAGCGCAACTAAAGCGCAAGTCAAAAAAGCGCAACTAAAGCGCAGGAAAAGCGCAACTAAAGCGCAACTAAAGCGCAAGTCAAAAAGCGCAACTAAAGCGCAAGATGACGCGACAAATTTTTATTGGATGTCCGAACTTATCTTTTGCCTCGGGTCACCTGACCCAATAATTTGCCCTCAGCCGGGGCCCCTTTTCACCTCCAACATCGTCGGCGGATCTCACTACAAGCATCCCAATGGCTTCTTCATCTGCCCCACAACACTCTTCTCCTCCGCCCTCTTCCTCTTCTTCGAGTACCTACTACGAGATTCCATGGGTCGAGAAGTACCGCCCCACTAAAGTTGCCGACGTGGTCGGCAACACAGATGCAGTCTCCCGTCTCCAAGTCATCGCGCGCGACGGAAATATGCCTAACATCATTCTATCGGTAGCTCCAAAACCCAAATACATACAACCGCTGTAGAGGAACCGAAGGGAAAACAAAATAAAATAGAACTCATAGTTAGGCCTCTGCCATTCGTTTACACGCAGTAGTTTGTAGATCTCATTTGAATTGTAATTGAATCTCTAGGGCCCTCCTGGAACTGGGAAGACGACAAGCATCCTAGCCCTTGCCCATGAGCTGTTAGGGCCTCACTGCAGGGAGGCTGTTCTCGAATTGAACGCGTCAGACGATAGGTGTGGTGCATTATTGGATTTAGAAGCGTTTGTGCCTCTTTAAGTGGTTATTCAGAACTTTGGTATGTTTTGATCGTTTTTGGCAGGGGGATTGATGTCGTGAGAAATAGGATCAAGATGTTTGCTCAAAAAAAGGTGACTCTGCCACCCGGAAGGCACAAGCTTATAATTCTTGATGAGGCTGACAGGTAGAGGATATACACGCTTTCAGTTTTTGTCATCCTCTTCTCTATTTCTACATGATTGATTGCAATTGATTTATACATTGATGTTTGTTGTATCCAGCATGACATCTGGTGCTCAGCAAGCTCTGAGGAGAACGATGGAGATATACTCGAATACTACTAGGTTTGCTCTTGCATGCAATACTTCATCTAAGATCATCGAGCCCATCCAGAGTAGATGTGCACTTGTTCGTTTCTCGAGGTTATCTGATCAAGAGATCCTTAGCCGTCTTCTCACAGTCCTTGAAGCTGAGAAGGTAATGGAAAGATTTTGTATTGGGACATGAATTCATATTCATATTAATTCTTAAAATATCCCCAGAAGATATATTGGATCTTCCTTAATTTTATCCATAGTTCTTCAAAGTACAATCATAAAGTTCATTAGTAGATCCTGGATCCAATCCAAGCATTTCGATATGCTCAAACTACATAATTTATGGAAGAAGAGAATAACTTATAAGTGGAGAAGGAACTTGATTCATTTATGTCAGCCCATTATTCTCTCTAATTGAGAGCATTTATAGATTACAAAGTTAGCATATGTTAGCTAAATTATACTAATAAACCATCCTTATCAATGCTAAATACAAGAATGGTTTAGATCCTAACCAACATCTAACTAATTAAGTAGCATTGTTCTTTATGCATTTTGCGTCACTTCTGTCATGATTTTTGTTGCACTTGAGCATATACGTTTGTTGGAAACTCAATAGTGCCTTTCTTGAGATGGAGAGAGATGAAAATTCTTAGACAGAAGAATGTTAGTTCTTTATGGAATATGATTGTGTCTATCAGTCGGATTATACTATTGACTTAGATCTCAATTATATTAGTTGAGTTCGACGAGGAGCTCACAGGGGGGGCAACGAAAATTCTTTTTTTCGTGCAATCATGCAATGCTTAGATGCTTCAAAGCAGATAACACAAAGCCAATGTACTGTAAACACAACGCCATTTCTCTACGGATTTGCTGAGTAAGGTTTTCCTTTGCGTTGTGTGAGTTGTAATCGAATGATGGTTGTTTTCTAGCATATTAAAGAGTGTGAGTTGTGAAAGAGTGTGTGTGGATGATCTGCACAATTTTCTCCCATTTTTCATAGTTGATTTCTGGTATAGTGTGACTTCATAGTTTTTCTCGTCTTTGGGGTTTCCATGTAAATTTTGATGTCCTTCCTTTGCATTTTTTTCCTTGTTTGTTTTTGTTGATTTACTCCCAACTAAGAAATAGGTGGCTAATGAAGTAGGTAGTCTCGATGTTTGAAATTGAGATTGCAAGGAGGGTGATTGGGTTTTTTCTCGATCATGAGAATTAAGAGAGATGGGCATATGCAGAAGGAGGTTGGCGAGGGAGTGATGATAGGATGAATGAGGTTGGCAATGCTCCTTGAGGGGGCTATATGAAGGTGTCGACAGTGGTGTACTAGGCAGACAACATTTTGATACGCCTTGGTATAAAAAAAAACAATGAACAAGAGAAATTCAGCACAAAATAGATTTTCTTTATTGCTAGGAAATCAAATAACAAAAGCAATACAATGGTCCTCTTTCGAGGGGAGAACTTTCTCTCCCAAACCCTAGGCGCGTTAGGATCCCTCACACAAAGAAAACTATAGCACTCAAAATAAAATCTGCATAAGAATAAAATATTTTTCCTCCATTCCAGAATATTTCTCCTCCATCCTGTCCCTGATTTGTTCCATTTTGCATTCGAATGCATCCATCTTTTTGGGTGCTATTTACCTCTCTATAATACCAATTTGTTATGCCTTGGAAACGAAATGAACAAGAAATCAAAGTAAAAACTGCAACGAATTTAGAAATGGTGGTTGATTTTTTGAATTAATACTTCAAAACAAAAGTAATATATAATGATCTACAAGTAGATAGGTAGATTAACTCTCCCAAACTACCTAGACACTGCTAGAAGGCCCTCAAAGAAAAGAAACTACAACATAAACTAAATCTCTCATAATCCCCATAAATTCTAGAATAATCCTTAAATAAGCTTATGTAGTTGCCCTCAAAACAACTCTCTCGCCTTACTTAATTCCCTCCCCTATTTTGAATTCAAATATCTTCATTAATTCATTCCTTAATTTGTAATAGCCGGTTTAGGCTTGGCCGGTTCAACCGAACCGGCTAGCCTTCTATTATTAGCCACGACCCAACAGAGGGTCGCTACAGGCTCTTTTGCGCGAAACAGAGAGGGGCGGGCGACGGAGCGTTCTTGCGAGGGATCAAAGTGAGTTTCATTTTTCCAATTTTAGCACATGATTGTTTTCAATGATAGGAAATAATATTTCCTTTTCATTCTTATCGTTATCAGAGTATTATTTTGGGAGAGATTTGAAGAACGAGAGAAACGAACGAGGAAAGAAAATGAAAAAGGTTTGTTGGATTTTCTTACGGATTTTTGTATAAATTTTCTTCTTTTCTTCGTTTAAATTGAACAATATGCTTCTTGAAGGTAAAGGAAGAGATTTGAAGCAAAGAGAGAGAATTTTGGAAAAAGGAAGAAGGATTTTTGGGAGATTTGGAAAATCCCATTGTAAGAAATTTATGCCATGGTATTCTTGAATTTTATTTGATAAAGCAAATTCATGAAAACTTTATTGCTAGATGTTAGAGATTTGGAAAGAGGTTCGAGGTAACACCCTTCGTCGAAGGCCTGAAAAGTTCAAAATGGGTAATTATAATTATGAAATTCAAATTTTACTATTATTATTCAGCTTACAAAGTTTTAATTTAAAGACTACAATGTACGAAATGTTGAAAGATTAAATACCTAAATAATTGTAAGTATTATTCCAATAAGAAATAAATGAATTGAATAACATATGAATGAAAAGAAAATACATGTATGTATTAAAGAAATATTGAAAAGAAATGAAATATGAAATTGAATAGAAATGTTATGGTAAATGTAAAAGAAAGGAAAAGGATATATACGAATATTTCAAGAGTTCACCTCCTTATGGTACTGGCTGGGGACGTCGTACTCGTGCACGTAAAAAGAAAAAGGAAAAATGGAAAAGGTTGTACTTTTGAGTACATTGAGACGGTGCTCCTATATGAATTAAATGGGAAAAAGAAATAATCAAGATAGTTTTAAATGTTTTAAAGCAAAATGATTGAATATGTATAAATTATCGAAATAAATGGAAAAAGTTGAATGAATGGTTGAATATATGTTGAAAATTATAAGAGTATTGTAAATAAGAACATTTATTTTAATTGTTCAAATATTTACCCACTGAGTTTACTTAGTAAACTCAACCCACGAGTTTAAATGTTTCAGATAAGTTCTTAAAGAAGAAATGATTGAAAGAGAAGAACATGTTTACAGAAGACGACGTGCAGATATCAACAAGTAATTTATATTTTGTGTTTAGTAGCTCTTTAGCAAATGAAGTAGTATAATGGAAAAAGAAATTTTATTGTCCGACTTTTCGTACCCGCCTCGTTAGATCGAGTATCCGGGCCGGGTCGTGACATAATTCTTCTCTTAACATATGAAATTATAGGTTTAATGGGCCCCACAAGGGGGGCCAAATTCCCTATTGTTCTCGCCCCATTCGCTTTGTTGGCTGGTCTGCCTTTTGCTAGACCGACATGTTGAGCCGGGTGCCACTCCCTCCCGTATTAGCTACATCCTTCTTCGCCACTTTCTCCATTGTCGATTCCCACCCCGTTGTCATCTTTGATGCCATCCTCAAACATCTATGGAATTATGGCCTCCATACCCTCCTAAATCTTCCTTGTTGCCCACCATCATTTTGTCCCCCTTCCCTCCTTTGAACATGCCCTTAAGTTGATGCCATCATCCGCGTTGGCACTCCCTTTACTTTCTTCTCTCAACCATCTTGTCACCAGCCTCCACCTAACCTGTCACTCATTTTTCTTCTAATTGAGCACTTTGCCATCTTAAAAAAACTCAATCTTATTATTCAACTTTTTCTCTTCCCCCACATCATTGCACGTAGTATTGCCTTCTTGAGAGTGTTCCTCTGTTGTCCATCACAAGCTCTCGATCTTCTTCCCCCCCCATCAAACTCTCTTTCTCCTCCGCAACATCATCTATCTCCATTGCTAGAGTTGAGATGCTTGTTTTGAGTTTTGTCTTTTATTTTTTTTTTTAATATTTTATCCCACGCCTTCCTACATTGCCTTTGCTGATGCCCCCCTTCCTCTTGAAGTTTACGATTGTAAGTTTCCAACATCTCTCAGGTTTTGCAAATTTTGATTCTAACATAAGCTCATATGTTTAGGCCTAGTGTTAAGGAGCTTATTGACATTTCATAAATGATTGGTGTAAAATGAGGCTTTAACTTTTTTTCTTGTTGGAATAAAGTAAAATTGATGTAAAATATTTTTTAAAGGAATCTAGATCGTGCAAAAGCCTTATCTTTTTTTTTTTTTTTTTTTTGAATTATAAATTTGCTCTAATTAAGAAAAATTCAATTACACTACCTTACCCTATTACCCAAACTCTCACATGACCTATTGCTCCACTATAATTTCTTGTCTTAGAATCCTTCTGAACTTGTTGGCCTTCCAAGATGATGAAAACAAAACTTATACTTGGAGCTTACTATACAATTTGTTGACCCATCATTATTTAGAGCATGGATTAAAAAAGTGATCGAGGTGCACAAAGAGCGTGCTAAGGCTTAAGCCTCACTAGTTCCAATGAGGCTTACACCTTTTTTATACTAGGCTCATGCCTTGAGGCATGCATTTGGGGGTGGTGCCTCAATCAAAATAACCTATTTCAAGGTTTTTTTTTTATATATATAATGCAACATGTTTAACCTCATGTACACCCACATGATTACCAGCACTTCGAGTCGGATCAGAATAGGGTGGCTGAGAGTGAGAACATCTTTGATCCTCTTTGTCCTGAATAGTCGTTGTTGTCTCACCCTTCATCGTCGTGCCATTGCATCCTTGAGAGAATGAGTGAGGTCGGGCTGGTACAAGATAAGAGCGGATAGGGAGATTGAGATCAAGAGCTACGATTGTCTTTGTTCCTTCATTGTCGGCCATTTCCCGGTTGGTTGCGATAGCTTCGTTGCTTCCAAAAGTTGCCTTATAGGAAAATTAATGAAATTAATAGATGTTGAAACAAAGAATTTGAGAGGGAAAAGCTTAAAATTATTCATTACAATCTTCCCTATTTATAGATCTATACAAGATATCCTAATGAGGAAATAATGAATTGCAGATTTAATACATAAATAATACATAAAAATCTTTCCTAAATTCGTTTCTTAATTATGACGTGATCCATGAGAGTATCCCACGGATTG